TGGTGGGTGTGAGGTGCTGCGTGGAAACTGGCTGCATAACACGTGTGCACATGCGCGTACACATGCACACGCAGCGCCTCACACCATCTGGTGCAGCTCTGGCTTGGGAGCTGTCATGATGTTGCCATCAAGGTGTTGTTGGGGGCTCTCTCTCCTTTGATCAGAGCTGGCCCAGCAGACTGTCCCTACAATAAAGGCTTGTGTGGAAAAACAAAAAAAAGCAAAGATATTGGGGGCCACAGCCCTCTGGGTGACACGTGCCCTCCTCGTGCCTCATCTCGCTGCAGTTGGCAGGAGTCCTGTTTCCTGCCACAGAGGCCTCACCGTGGCACTGGCTGGGTGTCCGCAGGTGCAGCAGCTGCTACCCCAGAGCAAGTGATGGGGCATCTCCCGTCGCTTCCCTCACAGAGTCCACCATTAAGGGGTGGCTAAGCCTGGGCCTCCCTCGAGGGAGGGGACTCAGCTCCCCCTTGCGAGGAGAAATGGCTGGAAATTCAGGGACCAAGACAGCAGGGTTCTGGGCCGAGACGGTGCGGGCAGTGGAGGAGGCGGGGGCACTCGGGCCTGCTGGTGGCCACAGTGTCCTAGGAGCCGCGGTGCCTGAGTGACCGACTGCTGGGCTTGGGCTTGATGGTGCTGTTTGGGAGTTCAGGGCAGGGTCCCAGAGTCAAGTGGGCTGTTGGACATCCTAGCTGGCCTTCTAGGAAACCCCTAGGGCAGCCTGGGCCATGGACAGAGGCTCCGGATGCTGTGTGTGGGTGCCGGAGATGCCCCGGTAATGAGGGTGCCCGGACATGTTAAGCTCCCAGCCGCATGGAGGAGGAGGCAGGAGTGTGCAGCCCGGGCTGGGGTGCCTGAGCAGAGGCTCCTGCATCCCTGCCCCTTTCCCTGCCCCTGTCTTTCTGTCTCCAGCAAACCTGGGTCAGCTTCTGCTCCAAGCCTGGACTGCCCTGCTGACCTTTGACCTTGGGGGTGGGTCTCGTTGCAGCTGGACAGTGATGACCTCCTGGATGCCCCCGGGGAGGCCCAAAGTGCCTTCTATGAAGGTCCTGGGGTAAGTGGCCACGGCCCCAGTCCTGGCACGGGTGGCAGCCAGTGAGAGGAAGGCCTGGGCTCCAAGGGGCTTTGACAGGGGAGGGCAGGGGTCAGGGACAGTTTGGGCCAAGTTGGACCTGCTGTGCAGCACGGTTCTGGGGTGCCAGGGCCAGTACAGCTCCTGGCGCCCCTGGAGACGCAGCCTGGAGCGTGTGACCTGAGGGGAGGGGGGACCTCAGCTGCAGACTTCAGACCAAAGCCCACAGCGGCCCCTTCCCTGTCCACCATTGTAACTGTCGTTCACCGTGCATTTATTGTACACCTGGCTCCTTGTGGCGATTATCACTTAGTCCTTACAGCAACTACAATATTAGATTCCAAAATCATAATGTAAGTGATTAAGTTCAGAGTCACAACAGTGGCACCTCCTGTCCTGTGACTACGTTTATAGACCCCGCAGCAATGATGACCTACGTGTTTACTATTTTTGGTCATTGCTCTCGTCATAACTGCCATCGTCATGGCTGTGGGGTCCCTGGCTGAGCCTGAGCCCTGCCCACAGGTGCTCTTTCCATACCTGTCTCAGGCCCAATGTTCATACCCTCGGGCAGTTAGGGGCACTGCCTGTCCAGTCTTCAGGGTTGGGGGCTGAGGGGAGCCCTGTCTCACCAGCCCCTGGCCTCCTCTCACCAGCTGGGACCCTGGGCCGCCCCGTCTGGTGCGAGACTGGGGCAGTGACCGCCTCCCTGAGCTGTTGTTGACAACACGGGCGGCAGTGATGGTGACCGCGGTGTCTCTCTCGCTCGTGCCACGTGCCAGGCATTGATGTGACCTCTGTGGATCAGGATGTTTCCAACTGCAGGAGTTCTTTTTTTTTTCCTTTTAAATTTATTTATTTTTGTGGTTCTGGGAATTAAATCCAGGGCCCTCACACTGAGCTACATCCCCAGGTTCCACCCCTCTACCCCATTATTTTTTATATTTGAGACAGGGTCTGAGTTGCTCAGGCTGGGCTTAAATTTGTGATCCTCCTGTCTCAGCCTCCTAGAGGGCTTGGATTACAGACCTGCATCACTGCACCTGGCTTCCGACTGCAGGTTTCGATCCATTCTCTGGGCAGAGATCAGTGGCCGAGGCACCGCAGCCTCAGTGCGGCCTGTGGACTGCTGGTCAGATGTGCATGCTTGTGTTTCTCGGTGGGGACCTGGATCTCCAGAAGCAGGAGAAACAGTGAAGAAACGCTCCACGCGTGGTGCAGTTGGCACCAGGGCCCAGATGGCAGCTGCTGCCATCACCACTGCTTTGGTCTTTTGTTTTGAGATAGATCAGCAGGGTGCCTGGAACTGTGTAGCCCAGATTTGCCTTGAACTCAGTGATCCTCCTGCCAAGGCCTCCCGAGTGCTGGGATTATAGGTGTACATGACCACATCAGCACGGCTGTGGTTTTTACCCCAGCCTTGGTCCTTCATTGGACACCTCTGGGGCCAGGCATATTTTAGAAATGCAGAGTTTTTCAGATTCTGGAAAGGAGGTGGATTGTTTTTATTGCCTTCTACTGAGTACTGCTGGGGAGACTGAGGTGGGATGAAGCAAGCCCCAAGTCACACAGCCAGGCACTGGCTTGGGTCCCGGGTCCTGTCTTGGTACCAGGTGTCCAGGGGTCGTGGCAGCTGTGGCCTTAGCCCGGGTCTTGGCCAACCTCACTTCTTCCCTTCTGCCCTGACCTCCAGCTCCATGTGCAAGAAGCTTCCGGCAACCACCTGAACCCGGAGCCCAGCCAGCCGGCCCCCAGCGTGGACCTGGACTTCCTGGAAGATGACATCCTGGGCTCTCCCGCCACGGCGGGTGGTGGTGGAGGAGGCGGGGGTGCCGACCAGCCCTGCGACATCCTTCAGCAGAGCCTGCAAGAGGCCAACATCACGGAGCAGACGCTCGAGGCTGAGGCTGAGCTGGACCTGGGCCCCTTCCAGCTGCCCACCCTGCAGCCCGCGGATGGCGGGGCAGGCCCGACAGGCGCTGCGGGGGCAGCTGCTGTGGCTGCGGGACCCCAGGCCCTCTTCCCGGGCAGTGCTGACCTGCTGGGGCTGCAGGCCCCACCCACAGTGCTGACTCACCAGGCCCTGGTGCCGCCCCAGGATGTGGTCAACAAGGCCCTGAGCGTGCAGCCCTTCCTGCAGCCCGTGGGCCTGGGCAATGTGACCCTGCAGCCGATCCCGGGCCTCCAGGGCCTGCCCAATGGCAGCCCTGGGGGCACTGCAGCCGCCACTCTTGGCCTGGCGCCCATCCAGGTGGTGGGCCAGCCTGTCATGGCACTCAACCCGCCCACCTCACAGCTCCTGGCCAAGCAGGTACCTGTCAGCGGCTACCTGGCCTCAGCAGCTGGTCCCTCAGAGCCCGTGACCCTGGCATCCGCTGGTGTGTCCCCCCAGGGGGCCGGCCTGGTCATCCAGAAGAGCCTTCCAGCCGCCGTGGCCACCACACTCAATGGGAACTCGGTGTTCGCAGGGGCAGGGGCTGCCACGGTGGCGGCCAGCGGGGCACCCTCAGGACAGCCACTGGCAGTGGCCCCAGGCCTGGGCACGTCACCGCTGGTGCCAGCGCCCAACGTGATACTGCACCGCACACCCACGCCCATCCAGCCCAAGCCCGCTGGCGTGCTGCCCCCCAAGCTCTACCAGCTGACACCCAAGCCCTTTGCCCCCGCGGGTGCCACACTCACCATCCAGGGTGAGCCGGGGGCACTGCCGCAGCCGCCCAAGGCCCCGCAGAACCTGACTTTCATGGCGGCAGCGGGCAAGGCCGGCCAGAACGTGGTGCTCTCGGGCTTCCCAGCCCCTGCCCTGCAGGCCAACGTCTTCAAGCAGCCCCCGGTTACCACCGCGGGCACAGCGCCGCCTCAGCCCCCTGGGGCCCTCAGCAAGCCCATGAGCGTCCACCTGTTGAACCAGGGCAGCAGCATCGTCATCCCTGCGCAGCACGTGCTCCCGGGCCAGAACCAGTTCCTGCTGCCCGG